AGGGAGAGGGAGAGGAGAGAGGAGAGAGAGGAGGAGAGGGAGAGGGAGGCGGAGGGAGGAGAGGAGAGGAGAGAGAGAGGGAGGGAGGGAGAGAGAGAGGAGAGAGAGGGGAGGGAGGGGGAGGAGGAGAGGGAGGAGAGGAGAGGGAGAGGAGGGGAGAGGAGAGGAGGGAGAGGGAGGGGAGAGGAGGAGAGGGGAGAGGAGGAGGGAGGGAGAGAGGAGGGGAGGAGAGAGGAGGAGAGGAGAGGAGAGGGAGGAGGAGGGGAGGGGAGAGGAGGAGGAGGGGGAGGGAGAGGAGAGGAGGAGGAGAGGAGGAGAGGGAGGGGAGAGGAGAGAGAGGAGAGAGGGAGGGGAGAGGAGGAGGAGAGAGAGGAGGGAGAGGGAGAGGAGGAGAGGAGGAGGAGAGAGGAGAGGAGAGGGGGAGGAGAGGGAGGGAGGAGAGGGAGAGAGAGAGGAGGAGGAGAGAGGGAGAGGGGAGAGGGAGGAGGGAGAGGAGAGGAGAGAGAGGAGGGAGAGGAGAGGAGGAGGGAGGGGAGAGGAGAGGAGAGAGGAGAGGAGGGGAGAGGAGGGAGAGGGAGGAGGAGAGGGGAGAGAGGAGGAGAGGGAGGAGGGGAGAGGGAGGAGAGGAGGGAGGAGAGGGAGAGGAGGGAGGGGAGAGGGGGAGAGGAGGAGAGAGGAGGAGAGGGAGAGAGGAGAGGAGGAGGAGAGAGGGAGGAGAGAGGAGGGAGAGAGGAGAGGGAGGGAGGAGAGAGGAGAGAGGGAGAGGAGGAGGGAGGGAGAGGGGAGGAGAGGGAGAGGAGGAGAGGGGAGAGAGGAGAGGGAGAGGGGAGGAGAGGGAGGAGAGGGAGAGAGGGAGGAGGGAGGAGGGGAGGAGAGAGGAGGAGAGGGGAGGAGGAGGGAGGAGGGAGGAGGAGAGGAGAGAGGAGAGAGGAGAGAGTGGGAGGGGAGCAGAGGGAGGGGAGGGGGAGAGAGAGAGAGAGGGGAGAGACGAGAGAGGAGAGAGGGAAGAGGAGGGAAGGAGGACTCTCTTTGGTCTCTCTCTGGTCTATCTCTGGTCTATCTCTGTGGTCTCTCTCTGGTCTCTCTCTGTGGTCTCTCTCTGGTCTCTCTCTGTGGTCTCTCTCACTGGTCTCTCTCTCCTGGTCTCTCTGTGGTTCTTGTGGTCTCTCTGGGTCTCTCTATGGTCTCTCTCTGGTCTCTCTCTGGTCTCCTCTCTGGGGTCTCTCTCTGGTCTCTCTCTGGTCTCTCTCCTGTTCTCTTGGGGGGGGTCTCTCTCTGGTCTCTCTCTGGTCTCTCTCTGGTCTCTCTCTGGTCTCTCTCTGGTCTATCTTTGGTCTCTCTCTGGTCTCTCTCTGTGGTCTATCTCTGGTCTCTCTCTGGTCTCTCTCTGTGGTCTTTCTCTGGTCTCTCTCTGGTCTCTCTGTGGTCTCTCTCTGGTCTCTCTTTTATCTTTGTGACATCACCAGAACGTTTTTGTGCTTATACTTTCGAAAATAAAGGTACTTAAAGCCGCAAGCGGCGTCGAACGGCCCTCGCCGCCCCGCGCAGCTCCCCGCAACACACCGCCTCTCACCACGCCGCCCCGTGACAAGACGCACGCGCCGCTCCACATCAGCCCAGGTATTGGAGGTGGCGCCGCCGCGTCATGATTTGTTCCTGTATAGCCATAGACATTTTTTTGTGAAATTGTAATTAATATGATCAGTTGAGATGGTTTGGCTCCCCATGTAAAATGTTTCCTCAGTCTGTAGGGGGCGCTAATGGGCCACTGTCAAACATTTCACTTTCACATGACCTAAACCCTGGAGCTGAACAATGGATTCAAGTTTTGTGCCACATTTTGCCGCTCCGCTGCTCGAACAATGTTCCACTGATCAAAAATCCCTGAGGTCATTTTGAAGGGAGCGATTTTGAGGCGAATCGGTGAAACGGCCGAGGAGGAGTCGCTTTCCAACCGACATGTATGAAAACTTTTGCTGTTCATTTTTCCATTTTGCAGTGAAATTTATGGGCTTCCTGTTTGTCAGGGGGCGGGGCCATAATAAAAAAAAAATCTTGTCCTGACTTGAGGAACATGTGTACCAAATTTCAGACCTGTCAGACCCTCCCACCTCCAGCTGAGGGACGTAGAGGAAGAGAGACTAGAGGGAGAGAGACTAGAGGGAGAGAGACTAGAGGGGGAGAGACCAGAGAGAGAGACCAGAGAGAGAGACCAGAGAGAGAGAGAGACCAGAGAGAGAGAGAGAGAGAGAGACCAGAGAGAGAGAGAGAGAAACCAGAGAGAGAAACCAGAGAGAGACCAGAGAGAGAGAGACTAGAGGGAGAGAGACCAGAGGGAGAGAGAGACCAGAAAGAGAGAGACCAGAGGGAGAGGAAGAGAGACTAGAGGGAGAGAGACCAGAGGGAGAGAGACTAGAGGGAGAGAGACCAGAGGGAGAGGAAGAGAGACTAGAGGGAGAGAGACCAGAGGGAGAGAGACTAGAGGGAGAGAGAGACCAGAGGGAGAGACACCAGAGGGAGAGAGAGAGACCAGAAGGAGAGAGACCAGAAGGAGAGGGACTAGAGGGGAGAGACCAGAGAGAGAGAGAGACCAGAGGGAGAGACACCAGAGGGAGAGAGAGACCAGAAGGAGAGAGACCAGAGGGAGAGGGACTAGAGGGAGAGAGACCAGAGGGAGAGGAAGAGAGACTAGAGGGAGAGAGACCAGAGGGAGAGAGACTAGAGGGAGAGAGAGACCAGAAGGAGAGAGACCAGAGGGAGAGAGAGACCAGAGAGAGAGACTAGAGGGAGAGAGACCAGAGAGAGAGACTAGAGGGAGAGAGACCAGAGGGAGAGGAAGAGAGACTAGAGGGAGAGAGACCAGAGGGAGAGAGACTAGAGGGAGAGAGAGACCAGAGGGAGAGACACCAGAGGGAGAGAGAGACCAGAAGGAGAGAGACCAGAGGGAGAGGGACTAGAGGGAGAGAGACCAGAGGGAGAGGAAGAGAGACTAGAGGGAGAGAGACCAGAGGGAGAGAGACTAGAGGGAGAGAGAGACCAGAAGGAGAGAGACCAGAGGGAGAGAGACCAGAGAGAGAGACTAGAGGGAGAGAGACCAGAGGGAGAGAGACTAGAGGGAGAGAGAGACCAGAAGGAGAGAGACCAGAGGGAGAGGGACTAGAGGGGGAGAGACCAGAGAGAGAGAGACTAGAGGGAGAGAGACCAGAGGGAGAGAGACTAGAGGGAGAGAGACCAGAGGGAGAGGAAGAGAGACTAGAGGGAGAGAGACTAGAGGGGGAGAGACCAGAGAGAGAGACCAGAGAGAGAGAGAGAGAGAGAGACCAGAGAGAGAGAGAGAGAAACCAGAGAGAGAAACCAGAGAGAGACCAGAGAGAGAGAGACCAGAGAGAGAGACCAGAGAGAGAGAGACCAGAGAGAGAGACCAGAGAGAGAGAGACCAGAGAGAGAGACCAGAGAGAGAGAGACCAGAGAGAGAGAGACCAGAGAGAGAGACCAGAGAGAGAGACAAGAGAGTGAGACCAGAGAGTGAGACCAGAGAGAGAGAGAGAGAGACCAGAGAGAGAAACCAGAGAGAGACCAGAGAGAGAGACCAGAGAGAGAGACCAGAGGGAGAGAGACCAGAGGGAGAGAGACAAGAGGGAGAGAGAGCAGAGGCAGAGAGACCAGAGAGAGAGAGACCAGAGGGAGAGAGACAAGAGGGAGAGAGACCAGAGGGAGAGAGACCAGAGAGAGAGACTAGAGGGAGAGAGACCAGAGGGAGAGAGACCAGAGGGAGAGAGATTAGAGGGAGAGAGACCAGAGGGAGAGAGACCAGAGGGAGAGAGACTAGAGAGAGAGAGACCAGAGAGAGACCAGAGAGACCAGAGAGAAACCAGAGAGAGACCAGAGAGAGACCAGAGAGACCAGAGAGGAACCAGAGAGAAAGGCCCAGTCCTGTTGCCATGACGCCGTGTGGTTTCTGAGATCCTCGTTGTACAGTCCTTTCCGTTTGGTCTCAGGGATCCTGGTGATGTCTCAGATCATCAACCCCTTCAGGACCATCCAGCTGAACTTCAAAGACCAGTTCGGCCTGGCCTACAGTGGCCTGCGGGGGGCAGTGTGCTTCGCCCTGGTCTTCACTCTGCCCGACACCATCAACCGCCGGAACCTCTTCGTCACCGCCTCCATCGCAGTCATCATCTTCACTGTGGTGGTCCAGGTTGGTATCGGACCATCGACCCACTTCAACATTGTGAGGTCCAATGGTCCGATGGTCCGATGGTCCGCAAAATTCAGCTTTAGTAATCAGAATGTAGACCCAGGACTGAGGCTGTAGACCCAGGACTGAGGCTGTAGACCCAGGACTGAGGCTGTAGACCCAGGACTGAGACTGTAGACCCAGGACTGAGGCTGTAGACCCAGGACTGAGGCTGTAGACCCAGGACTGAGGTTGTAGACCCAGGACTGAGGCTGTAGACCCAGGACTGAGACTGTAGACCCAGGACTGAGGCTGTAGACCCAGGACTGAGGCTGTAGACCCAGGACTGAGGCTGTAGACCCAGGACTGAGGCTGTAGACCCAGGACTGAGGCTGTAGACCCTCGTCGGACTTTCCTTGTTCTGTCTTTTTTGCATTTTACTTCCTGATTTACTTTCAGGGCGTAAGTATTCGGCCGATTGTGGAGTACATGAACATCCGACGCAGCAACAATGAAAAATTCAACATCAACATGGAGATCCACCACCGGGTAACAGCTCTGCTCCTCCAGCAGTTTAATATCCATCCATCCATTTTCTTCCGCTTTATCCGTTGCCGGGTCGCGGGGGCAGCAGTCTAAGCAGAGACGCCCAGACTTCCCTCTCACTCCATAGTCCCTCCAGCGTGTCCTGGGTCTTCCCCGGGGCCTCCTCCCGGTGGGACGTGCCCGGAACACTTCCCCAGGGAGGCGTCCAGGAGGCATCCGGAACAGATGCCCGAGCCACCTCAACTGGTTCCTCTCGACGTGGAGAAGCAGCGGCTCTACTCCGAGCTCCTCCCGTGTGACTGAGCTCCTCACCCTATCTCTAAGGGAGCAGCGACTCTGCGGAGGAAGCTCATTTCGACCGCTTGTATCCGCGATCTCGTTCTTTCGGTCATTACCCAAAGCTCATGACCATAGGTGAGGGAGGGAACAAAGATTGACCGGTAAATTGAGAGCTTTGCCTTTCGGCTCAGCTCCCTCTTTACCACAACGGTCCGATACAGCTCTGACTGCAGACGCTGCTCCCTCTTCACCACAACGGTCCGATACAGCTCTGACTGCAGACGCTGCTCCCTCTTCACCACAACGGTCCGATACAGCTCTGACTGCAGACGCTGCTCCCTCTTCACCACAACGGTCCGATACAGCTCTGACTGCAGACGCTGCTCCCTCTTCACCACAACGGTCCGATACAGCTCTGACTGCAGACGCTGCTCCCTCTTCACCACAACGGTCCGATACAGCGACCGCATCACTGCGCACGCTGCACCGATCCGCCTGTCAATCTCACGCTCCATCCTTCCCTCACTCGTGAACAAGACCCCGAGATACTTGAACTCCTCCACTTGAGGAAGGGCCTCTCCACCCACCCGGAGAGGGCAAGGCACCTTTTTCCGGTCGAGCACCATGGCCTCGGATTTGGAGGTGCTGATTCTCATCCCAGCCGCTTCACACTCGGCTGCAAACCGTCCCAGTGCATGTTGTAGGTCCTGGTTCGTTGGAGCCAACAGGACAACATCGTCTGCAAACAGCAGAGATGAAATCCTGTGGTCTCCGAACCGGACCCCTCCGACCCCTGGCTGCGCCTAGATATTCTGTCCATAAACACAGTGAACAGAACCGGTGACAAAGGGCAGCCCTGGCGGAGGCCAACATGCACCGGGAACAGGTCTGACTTACTGCCGGCAATGCGAACACAGCTCTGGCTCCGGTCATAGAGGGATCGGACGGCCCTCAGCAGAGGACCCCGTACTCCCGAAGAACCCCCCAAAGGACACCCCGGGGAACCCGGTCCAAAGCCTTCTCCAAATCCACAAAGCATATGTGGACAGGTTGGGCGAACTCCCATTAACCCTCGAGTATCCGATGGAGAGTATAGAGCTGGTCCAGTGTTCCACGGCCGGGACGAAAACCACACTGCTCCTCCTGGATCCGAGATTCGACCATCGGCCGTAGCCTCCTCTCCAGTACCTTGGAGTAGACCTTACCGGGGAGGCTGAGGAGTGTGATCCCACGATAATTGGAACACACCCTCCGGTCCCCCTTCTTGTAGAGAGGGACCACCACCCCGGTCTGCCACTCCATTGGCACCGCCCCCGATCGCCACGCGATGTTGCAGAGACGTGTCAGCCAAGACAGTCCTACAACATCCAGAGACTTTAGATAGTCAGGACGGATCTCATCCACTCCCGGCGCCTTGCCACCATGGAGGCTGCCAACCACCTTGGTGACCTCTGCCAGGGAGATGGATGTATCCGCCCCAACATCCTCAGCCTCTGCCTCCGGGGCGGAGGACGTGACGGGGGGATTGAGGAGAACCTCGAAGTATTCCTTCCACCGCCCGACAATATCCCCAGTCGAGGTCAGCAGCTCTCCACCCGCACCATACATGGTGTTGGCAAAGGACTGCTTCCCCCTCCTGAGGCGCCGGACGGTTTGCCAGAATCTCTTCGAGGCCGACCGATAGTCATGCTCCATGGACTCTCCGAACACCTCCCAGTCCCGGGTTTATGCCTCTGCAACAGCCCGGGCCGCGGCACGCTTGGCCTGCCGGTACTGGACAGCTGCCTCAGGAGTCCCACGAACCATCATGGCTCGATAGGACTCCTTCTTCAGCCTGACGGCATCCCTTACTGCCGGTGTCCACCACCGGGTTCGGGGGTTGCCGCCGGGACCAGCACCAGAGACCTTGCGACCACAGCTACGAGCCGCCGCATCGGCGATAGAGGAAGAGAACATGGTCCACTCTGACTCGATGTCCCCCAGGAGAATAACGGAGTCCCCGGGCGGTGCACTGTCCAGTACCCCTCCCAAGGACTCCAAGAAGGCCGGGTACTCTGCACTGCTGTTAGGCCCGTAGGCCGTCACAACAATGAGAGACTTGTCCCCCACCCAGAGGCGGAGGGACGCGACCCTCTCATTCACCGGGGAGAACTCCAACACGTGGCGGCTGAGATGGGGGGCAATGAGTATGGCCACCCCAGCTCGCCGCCTCTCCCCGCGAGAAACTCCAGAAAAGTGGAGCGTCCAACCCCTCTCAAGGAGTTGGGTTCCAGAGCCCAAGCTGTGTGTGGAGGTGAGGCCGACTATCTCTAGTCGGTATCGCTCAACCTCCCCCACAAGCTCGGGCTCCTTCCCCCCCAGTGAGGTGACGTTCCACGTCCCAAGAGCCAGATGTTGTGTGTGCGGACTGGGTCGTCGAGGTCTCCGCCTTCGACTGCCGCCCAGTCCTCTCAGCACCGCGCCACCACGGACCCCTCTGCAGGTGGTGGGCCCACAGGAGGGACTGCCCACGTCATCCCTTCGGGCTGAGCCCGGCCGGGCCCCGTGGGCTAAGGCCCGGCCACCAGGCGCTCACGTATGAGCCCCAACCCCAGGCCTGGCTCCAGGGTGGGGCCCCGGCTGCGCCATGCCGGGCGACGTCACTGGTGTATTTATTGTGCTGTCCATGTTGGTTTTTGGACCACTCTTCGTCTGACTCGTCACCTGAGACCTGTCTGCCATGGGAGGCCCTACCAGGGGCATGAAGCCCCAGACAGCATAGCTCCCAGGATCATCCGAGTCAAACTCCCCCACCACGTTAAGGTGGCAGTCCAGGGGGGAGAATAATAATAATAATAATAATAATAATAATAATAATAATAATAATAATAATAATAATAATAATAATAATAATAATAATAATAATAATAATAATAATAGTAATAATAATAATACTAGTAATAATAATAATAATAATAATAATAATAATACTTTATCTCTTCCGCAGACGATGGAGCACATTGTGTCTGGGATCGAGGACCTGTGTGGACAATGGAGCCACTACTACTGGAAAGACAAGTCAGAGATCTATGAGAAAATCCCAGCTGGTGAAGCCCCAGACTGAGGTGAGACTGGGGCGAGACTGAGGCGAGACTGAGGTTGTGTCTGCCTCAGGTTTAAGAAGTTCAACGACAGTGTCCTGCGGAGGATCCTGCTGCGGGACAACAGGCCCGAGTCCAGCATCGTGTCTCTGTACAAGAAGCTGGAGCTGCAGAGCGCCATCGAGCTGCTGGACACGCCCATGGGGGACCTGAGCGCCGCCCCCTCCGTCGTCTCCCTGAAGTGAGTCCTCATCACGGATCTGTTGGAAAAACGGGTCCGAGTTCTACTTAGAGCTGTAGAACCCGCGGTTCTGCAGACTAAATACAACTACATTACCCAGAAACATGTCCCAAAGAACTCACTGTGAACTAAAACAGACCTGGGCTGACTGAGAACCTGACAGAGAACCTGACAGAGAACCTGACTGAAAACCTACAGAGAACCTGACTGAGAACCTGACTGAAAACCTACAGAGAACCTGACTGAGAACCTGACTGAGAACCTGACTGAAAACCTACAGAGAACCTGATAGAGAACCTGACAGAGAACCTGACTGAGAACCTGACAGAGAACCTGACTGAGAACCTGACTGAAAACCTACAGAGAACCTGATAGAGAACCTGACAGAGAACCTGACTGAGAACCTGACTGAAAACCTACAGAGAACCTGACTGAGAACCTGACAGAGAAACTGACAGAGAACCTACAGAGAACCTGATAGAGAACCTGACAGAGAACCTGACAGAGATTCTCTTTTTCTCCTCTTTAATCTCTTCTTTAATTATCTTTAAATCCACTCTGACTCTGCTCTGATTGGTCAGAACGCTGCCCTCTGATTGGCCAGAACGCTGCCCCTTGATTGGTCAGAACGATGCCCTCTGATTGGTCAGAACGATGCCCTCTGATTGGTCAGAACGATGCCCTCTGTTTGGTCAGAACGCTACCCTCTGATTGGTCAGAACGCTGCCCTCTGATTGGTCAGAACGATGCCCTCTGATTGGTCAGAACGATGCCCTCTGATTGGTCAGAACGCTGCCCTCTGATTGGTCAGAACGATGCCCTCTGATTGGTCAGAACGATGCCCTCTGTTTGGTCAGAATGCTTGGCTCTGTCCACGTGCACGTGCCACATGAATTTGGCGCAAAGCATCATGGGAGCTCATCCACTGCACAGAACCGGGAGGACCAGAGGAATAGCGCCTGAAATAAATATTTAAATGAATAAATGAAACCGAAGCCCACTCCACAGAGACACAAGATTAACAAAAACAGAAAATACAATCCCAAAATATCCACATTGTTCAGGATACAAGCGTACACCACATGGTTCTCCTCTGATGGTTGTTGTTTGTCCGTTGCCGTAGCGATGAGATGAAGGAAGCGTCTCGGTCAAAGAAGAAGTTCCAGAGCGTCGACGTGAGAAAGATGCAAAATATTCTGACAAAGAACATGTACAAGATCAGACAAAAGGTAACAACACATCCACCAGCCCTACTCCACCCTACCCTACCCTACTCTACCCTACCCTACTCTACTCTACTCCACCCTACCCTACCCTACTCTACCCTACCCTACTCTACTCTACCCTACCCTACCCTACTCTACCCTACCCTACTCTACTCTACTCTACTCTACTCTACCCTACCCTACCCTACTCTACCCTACCCTACTCTACTCTACTCCACCCTACCCTACCCTACTCTACCCTACCCTACTCTACTCTACTCTACTCTACTCTACCCTACCCTACCCTACTCTACCCTACCCTACTCTACTCTACTCTACCCTACTCTACCCTACCCTACCCTACTCTACCCTACCCTACTCTACTCTACTCCACCCTACCCTACCCTACTCTACCCTACCCTACTCTACTCTACTCTACCCTACCCTACCCTACTCTACCCTACCCTACTCTACTCTACTCTACCCTACTCTACCCTACCCTACCCTACTCTACTCTACTCTACCCTACCCTACTCTACCCTACCCTACTCTACTCTACTCTACCCTACTCTACTCTACTCTACTCCACCCTACACTACTCCACCCTACCCTACCCTACCCTACTCCACTCTACCCTACCCTACTCCACTCTACTCCACCCTACCCTACTCTACTCCACCCTACTCCACCCTACTCTACTCTACTCCACCCTACCCTACTCCACCCTACCCTACCCTACCCTACTCCACTCTACCCTACTCTACTCCACCCTACTCCACCCTACCCTACTCTACCCTACCCTACCCTACTCTACTCTACCCTACTCTACTCTACCCTACCCTACCCTACCCTACCCTACCGTACCCTGCTCTACTCTGGTCTCTCTCTTTGATCACAGCATTTCTGTGGACATTATGTATCATCATGAAATCTTCAGCTGTAAAGTGTAATATTTTAATGTTGTGTTTTCTTCTAAAGATACTTTATGGTCATAATATAAACAAAGTGTCTGTCCTCAGACTCTGGCTTATACCAATAAATACAAACTCCCCGACGACAGCCGGACTCGGGAAATCCTGATCCGTCGCCATGCCAGCATCAGACGCAGCCTCCGATCCTCCAGCTTCAGGGATCTGGTGAGTTTGGCTTCAGTCCTGGGTCTAAAGCCTCAGTCCTGGGTCTACAGCCTCAGTCCTGGGTCTACAGCCTCAGTCCTGGGTCTACAGCCTCAGTCCTGGGTCTACAGCCTCAGTCCTGGGTCTAAAGCCTCAGTCCTGGGTCTACAGCCTCAGCCCTGGGTCTACAGCCTCAGTCCTGGGTCTACAGCCTCAGTCCTGGGTCTACAGCCTCAGTCCTGGGTTTACAGCCTCAGTCCTGGGTCTACAGCCTCAGTCCTGGGTCTACAGCCTCAGTCCTGGGCCTACAGCCTCAGTCCTGGGTCTACAGCCTCAGTCCTGGGTCTACAGCCTCAGTCCTGGGTCTACAGCCTCAGTCCTGGGTCTACAGCCTCAGTCCTGGGTCTACAGCCTCAGTCCTGGGTCTACAGCCTCAGTCCTGGGTCTACAGCCTCAGTCCTGGGTCTACAGCCTCGGTCCTGGGTCTACAGCCTCGGTCCTGGGTCTACAGCCTCGGTCCTGGGTCTACAGCCTCGGTCCTGGGTCTACAGCCTCAGTCCTGGATCTACAGCATCAGTCCTGGGTCTACAGCCTCAGTCCTGGGTCTACAGCCTCGGTCCTGGGTCTACAGCCTCAGTCCTGGGTCTACAGCCTCGGTCCTGGGTCTACAGCATCAGTCCTGGGTCTACAGCCTCGGTCCGGGGTCTACAGCCTCAGTCCTGGGTCTACAGCATCAGTCCTGGGTCTACAGCCTCAGTCCTGGATCTACAGCCTCAGTCCTGGGTCTACAGCCTCGGTCCTGGGTCTACAGCCTCGGTCCTGGGTCTACAGCCTCGGTCCTGGGTCTACAGCCTCGGTCCTGGGTCTACAGCCTCGGTCCGGGGTCTACAGCCTCAGTCCTGGGTCTACAGCATCAGTCCTGGGTCTACAGCCTCAGTCCTGGATCTACAGCCTCAGTCCTGGGTCTACAGCCTCGGTCCTGGGTCTACAGCCTCGGTCCTGGGTCTACAGCCTCGGTCCTGGGTCTACAGCCTCGGTCCTGGGTCTACAGCCTCGGTCCTGGGTCTACAGCCTCGGTCCTGGGTCTACAGCCTCGGTCCTGGGTCTACAGCCTCAGTCCTGGGTCTACAGCCTCAGTCCTGGGTCTAGATACAGTGCATTGAACTAACTCTGATTTGTTCTTGCAGCCGTCAGAGAACATTCCAAAATCCCAAAAATATTTCTCGCTGCAGCCGGGCGGCGACCTGGAGGCGGCCTTTAACCTCCGCAGAAGAAGTCACGGTGAGAGTCCAGGAAAAAGTTCCCATATGCAAAGCAACACACATCTACCAGCTGCGACACATGGTCCGGTCTGTGCGAGGTCTACAGCAGGACTAAAACACTGACATGGTCTTCTGTCCTGGTCCAGGTGGTTCTGCCCGATCAGGCCTCGCCCTCAGCCCCATCCAGGAGCGCAGTCTGGACCCGGATCCACACAGGACCACAGTGCACCAGAGCGAGGCCGGAGAGGGGCCCTCACCACGGGGCTGGCAGCCGGAGACCCCCCAGGGAGACCCGGTGTCCAGGAGCCCCCTGCTCAGATAACTCTGTCCCAGACGTGACGTCCTTCAGGCGCAGTATCGTCATTCTCACGCTCATAAAAGTTTTTATTTGAACGTTATTTATAGTTGTGTGCGGCGAAGAGTTGAAGATAAAGTTACTATAGTCAGTGTAATACGCACAAATATACCACCTGACTCTCCACCTGCTTTTCCACCTGGTTCTCCACCTGGTTCTCCACCTGGCTCTCCACCTGGTTCTCCACCTGGTTCTCCACTTGACTCTCCACCTGGTTCTCCACCTGGTTCTCCACCTGGTTCTCCACCTGGCTCTCCACCTGGTTCTCCACCTGGTTCTCCACTTGACTCTCCACCTGGTTCTCCACCTGGTTCTCCACCTGGTTCTCCACCTGACTCTCCACCTGGTTCCCCACCTGGTTTCCACCTGACACTCCACCTGGTTCTCCACCTGACTCTCCACCTGACTCTCCACCTGGCTCTCCACCTGGTTCTCCACCTGGTTTCCACCCGACTCTCCACCTGGTTTCCACCTGACTCTCCACCTGGTTCCCCACCTGGTTCTCCACCTGGTTTCCACCTGACTCTTCACCTGGTTCTCCACCTGGTTCTCCACCTGGTTCTCCACCTGGTTTCCACCTGCCCACAGACACATGGTCCGGTCGAGGTCTTCTGCAGGACTAAAACAGTAAAATGAGTCTTCTTCTTAGTCCTGTGCGACGTACAGTGTCACAAATAATCCACAGCGCCCCCTGCGTTGACAGGGCGCCATTGCAACAACAGTAAAATCCCTATTTACCCGAAAGAGATGGAGGCGGAAAAAACAGAAAAAGAACAAATCTGAGAGAAAGAAAGTGAAATTGTGAGTTTTTGTGAGTGGCTGAAAAGCAGTGGGTTAAAAGCCTGAAGTCTGTGGTTATGACCTTTTGGAGCCACGGCCTTTAACTGGAAATGTGAAAGTCTGCAGCGTTTATGAACGAAGCAGAGTCAGTCTCATGACAATGTTTTATAAAGAAAATCAAAAAAACTGCCATCTTTACTAAAAAAAAAAAAAAAAAATCTTTGCGCTACACCGGTGTTTTTCAACCAGTGGGCTGTGGGCGGGTCTTTGGTCCAATATCACCTGATTGGACAAAATAATATGAATAATGAACTTTGAACACTTTTTGATCTAAATGAGAAAGATCCGACTCAAACAAACGACACGTGTTTCTCTTTCACCAAAGTTCATTTTCACATTTACTCAGAAACATCAGAAACCATCAACAAACAAGTCAATATGGCAGATTCCTCCTCAAAACTGTCCAACAATTACTCAACCCTCAGTCCCCATGGTTGTTTGCTTGTTCTGCCTGTGTCTGAGAAGGCTTAGTAGGGTTAGTAGCTGCAGTTTTGTGACTAAAAACAATAATAATTATGTCCTTATTAAGTCTTAAGTCTTTTCTCTGATCTCCCACGACTCAGAGACTCCTCAAAGGTCACTATCCCTGTTTTTATCTTATCGCAAAATTCATGTATTTGGGACTCTGAGGAGCACAGGGACTGGCCTCCTGCTGGGACTCTGAGGAGCACAGGGACTGGCCTCCTGCTGGGACTCTGAGGAGCACAGGGACTGGCCTCCTGCTGGGACTCTGAGGAGCACAGGGACTGGCCTCCTGCTGGGACTCTGAGGAGCACAGGGACTGGACTCCTGCTGGGACTCTGAGGAGCACAGGGACTGGCCTCCTGCTGGGACTCTGAGGAGCACAGGGACTGGACTCCTGCTGGGACTCTGAGGAGCACAGGGACTGGACTCCTGCTGGGACTCTGAGGAGCACAGGGACTGGCCTCCTGCTGGGACTCTGAGGAGCACAGGGACTGGCCTCCTGCTGGGACTCTGAGGAGCACAGGGACTGGCCTCCTGCTGGGACTCTGAGGAGCACAGGGACTGGACTCCTGCTGGGACTCTGAGGAGCACAGGGACTGGTCTCCTGCTGGGACTCTGAGGAGCACAGGGACTGGCCTCCTGCTGGGACTCTGAGGAGCACAGGGACTGGCCTCCTGCTGGGACTCTGAGGAGCACAGGGACTGGCCTGCCTGCTGGGACTCTGAGGAGCACAGGGACTGGTCTCCTGCTGGGACTCTGAGGAGCACAGGGACTGGCCTCCTGCTGGGACTCTGAGGAGCACAGGGACTGGCCTCCTGCTGGGACTCTGAGGAGCACAGGGACTGGCCTCCTGCTGGGACTCTGAGGAGCACAGGGACTGGCCTCCTGCTGGGACTCTGAGGAGCACAGGGACTGGACTCCTGCTGGGACTCTGAGGAGCACAGGGACTGGACTCCTGCTGGGACTCTGAGGAGCACAGGGACTGGACTCCTGCTGGGACTCTGAGGAGCACAGGGACTGGACTCCTGCTGGGACTCTGAGGAGCACAGGGACTGGACTCCTGCTGGTCCCAGAGTCAGGACTACCCAGTCTTCCAGATGTGTGACACAGGCTTCTTCTCTGAGGATGTTTAAATCCAGGTTAAAACTGTAGATTTCATGTTTTACTCTTTTGAATGTTCTGTGATTATTTATGCTGTTCTCGTCTTGTCTGATCCTATGAACTGTGCTACACAATTAAACTTGCCATTGTTTTTACTAAAACTCTTTCTGCGGTAAAGTGAGAGCAGCATTTGGAAACACAGATTCTCCTGGGACTGTAGACCTGACCGAGGGTTGTTAGTACAAAATGAAACATGCAAATATTTAACAGTCAAAGTTATGTACATGTGACATCACAGTCTGTCCTCTGGGTGCAGTGCAGGTTCAGTCCTGAAGGGGGCAGCCTCACACACTCACAGAGTTTCCCATCGGCTCACAGAGAAAAATGTACATTCCACTTTAGACTTGGACAGTTCGTCTCAGACTCGGACTCGGACTCAGACCCGGATGATGCTGATGGAGGAGGAGGCTCGATGAAGCTGGAACAGAGGAGAGAGAAGATTTAGCACAACTCAGTCCTGGGTCTACAGCCTCAGTCCTGGGTCTATAGTCTCAGTCCTGGGTCTACAGCCTCAGTCCTGGGTCTACAGCCTCAGTCCTGGGTCTACAGCCTCAGTCCTGGGTCTACAGCCTCAGTCCTGGGTCTACAGCTTCAGTCCTGGGTCTACAGCCTCAGTCCTGGGTCTACAGCTTCAGTCCTGGGTCTACAGCCTCAGTCCTGGATCTACGGCCTCAGTCCTGGGTCTACAGCCTCAGTCCTGGATCTACAGCCTCAGACCTGGATCTACAGCCTCAGACCTGGATCTGCAGCCTCAGACCTGGGTCTGCAGCCTCAGTCCTGGGTCTACAGCCTCAGTCCTGGGTCTACAGCCTCAGTCCTGGGTCTGCAGCCTCAGTCCTGGGTCTGCAGCCTCAGTCCTGGATCTACAGCCTCAGACCTGGATCTACAGCCTCAGTCCTGGGTCTACAGCCTCAGACCTGGATCTACAGCCTGAGTCCTGGGTCTACAGCCTCAGACCTGGGTCTGCAGCCTCAGTCCTGGGTCTGCAGCCTCAGTCCTGGGTCTGCAGCCTCAGTCCTGGATCTACAGCCTCAGACCTGGATCTACAGCCTCAGTCCTGGGTCTACAGCCTCAGACCTGGGTCTGCAGCCTCAGTCCTGGATCTGCAGCCTCAGACCTGGATCTACAGCCTCAGTCCTGGGTCTACAGCCTCAGTCCTGGGTCTACAGCCTCAGTCCTGGGTCTGCAGCCTCAGTCCTGGGTCTACAGCCTCAGTCCTGGCCAAGCTGTGGTTAGCTTGCCTTCACTCTCCTCCACAGCTTCCTGATTGGTCTAAATCTATCCAACTGTCTCACTGGTCTATGTCATGGCAAAGGGAAAGGGACAATTTCAAATATAATTGTTGAAGAATACTGACTGTACACGATCGTGCAGTGTCTCATGGTCAGAACCATACATTATTATAAAGATTAAAAACATTTTCAGTCGTTGTAGATAACGATGGAGGAGACCTGTCAAACCAAACCTTAATGTTGTGATTTTAATTTGCTAAATGCACAGTCTCTCCTCCCTCTCCGTCTTAAACCTTGTTATGCCAAAGCGATTATAATTCTCTCTCATAAATCAGACCTAATGAGTCGCTTAAGACACCGTCGCTCTCTCTCCGTTTACCGTCTTCCCCGGGGCGATCGATGGGAGTCTCTAAACGGAAACGCCTCGAGGGCTTTCTGAGCGTCAGCACAAATGTTGCTGATCAGGCACAATCTCAAATGATCCGGTCTTTCTGATGTGGGTTTAGAAGTCAGACCCACAGAGTCCGGTCTGAGTCCGGTCTGAGTCTGGTCTGAGTCTGGTCTGAGTCTGGTCTGAGTCCGGTCTGAGTCCGGTCTGAGTCTGGTCTGAGTCTGGTCTGAGTCTGGTCTGAGTCCGGTCTGAGTCCGGTCTGAGTCTGGTCCGAGTCCGGTCCGAGTCCGGTCTGAGTCCGGTCTGAGTCTGGTCTGAGTCCGGTCTGAGTCTGGTCTGAGTCCGATCTGAGTCTGGTCTGGATGGAGGTGGTTCCACAAAAGAAGTGTACAGATGGACGATGCTAATTTTCTAGCTCAATGAAGTCCAATAGAGAAGTGCTCATGGACAAAGTTTAGCTCCAACTCGCTCAGGCTCCTGCTGACTTTCAGGTAAACCTTCTTCACATGTGTTGTGTAGAACATACGTGTAGTGTAGAACATACGTGTAGTGTAGAACATACGTGTAGTGTAGAACATATGTGTAGTGTAGAACATACGTGTAGTGTAGAACATACGTGTAGTGTAGAACATACGTGTAGTGTAGAACATACGTGTAGTGCAGAACATACGTGTTGAACATACGTGTAGTGTAGAACATACGTGTAGTGTAGAACATACGTGTAGTGTAGAACATACGTGTAGTGTAGAACATACGTGTAGTGTAGAACATACGTGTAGTGCAGAACATACGTGTAGAACATACGTGTAGTGTAGAACATACGTGTAGTGTAGAACATACGTGTAGTGTAGAACATACGTGTAGTGCAGAACATACGTGTAGTGTAGAACATACGTGTAGTGTAGAACATACGTGTAGTGTAGAACATACGTGTAGTGCAGAACATACCTGTAGTGTAGAACATACGTGTAGTGTAGAACATACGTGTAGTGTAGAATATACGTGTAGTGCAGAACATACGTGTAGTGCAGAACATACGTGTAGTGCAGAACATACGTGTAGTGCAGAACATACGTGTAGTGCAGAACATATGTGTAGTGTAGAACATACGTGTAGTGCAGAACATACGTGTAGTGTAGAACATACGTGTA